CTTATCTCAACCTTATAATTTAGAAGCTCCCAGTATCCACCAAAATAAGATCAATCGTGTATGTGACGCAATCGTGTATGTGACGCAACTAGTTTATAGTATATTTGGCTCGCTCCTCTTTCAACATGTTCTTCGCAGCGATATTAGAAGCATGGTTATCAGCGACCACTTGCATTTCACAAGACTCCAATCGCCTTTATGCATTCTTCCACCCACTTGATTATATACTTTGTCATGTGTTCATGCTCATAATATTCAATAGACTAGATAAAACTTGTGCCCTCATTGCTATAGATGAACAAGTTTATCACATTCTTATGTCTCCTGTTTGTAAGGATACTGCATCCATACCCATCCCACCATCTTTGCTTTGTCACCAATTTTCTGATAAACTTACCAGTGTTGTAAAAAACGGGAAATAGTGGTGTTATAGCGGCGTTTTTCGCAGTCACGGGGCTTCATCGCGCCGCTTAGGGGGATTGCTGGGTGTTTTGGCGGAGAAAACCGCCTTTTGTTGAAATCGCGGGTTTTAGCGCTAAAAAACGCTTAAAAGCGATTTTTAGTGCTAAACCTATATGATAAAAGCCTCCCCGAACCTGACCTGAAACCCGACCCGAACCCATCACTTAAAAAATTAAAACCCATCTTCCTCTTGTGCCCTAGCCACCAGTCGTGTCTCTCCCTTTCGTGTGCATCCCCTGCCCCAACGCACACACCGCCAAGCAACATCTCCCGCTCGTCGGCCGGGCACAATCTACGCGCTGTCACCACGGTCTAAGCGATATCTCGCCTTCAAGCCCATCTACCTTTCTCTCTCTCTTGGTTCCTCCGGCGACATCAGTAGGTCCCGAACTTTCCTCCGGCGAGGCAGCGACACTAAACCTTCCCTCCGACGACCAACAGCAGCTCCCTCCGATGACCAGTAGCAGCAACCTCTCCTCTCTGTTGGGCTTCGTCTGCAACAGAGAGAAAAAGGTAATAATCACTTTTTAAGCACATTAATTCTGCCAGCTGCTTGCCTGCATAAATAAGCCTGAAAAAACACATTTACAGTAAACAACAAGGCATATTTTAAGCACATTAATCATAATTGACTGCCAAAAAGTATACTGTATACATAAGTTGAAGTTAAATAAAAAAGTTGAAGTGAAAGGTGGATCCTATTAGCGAAATGGTTTCCGAACAACAAGCACTATAAAATCAAAGGTAGTAAAACTTTACAGATCTTATAAAAGCTTGCTTTCAACTAGATAATAGCTTATAGAACCACTAGTGTGTTTTTTTATGTTTATGTTTATTTTATTTTGGGTTAAAAATCATGAAACATATTTATATTTGACCGTTATTTTTCTTTTGAAAAGTATTTGACCGCTATTTGACTGTGCGCTATTTGCCGCTATTTTGCCGTAATAGCCCCAAATAGCCTTAGCGGTACCTCGCCGCGACGCGATGCTATCCGCTATCACCAACCTTGAAACTTACCTGAGGAGAGAAATTTTAAAACCGATAGTGGTTAGGCCTCTTGTATCTTGGCCTATATGTTCCCATCGTCTCACACGCTAGATCAAATTCTTTGTCGAGTACATGAACAAGAAATCCTGATTCATATGTCAACATGCTCAATTTTTCATGAGCCATGTCCCTATAGTCTCCTTTCAATCTCATTAAATGTGCTTTACTTCATTTTTATCTCTACTACCATCTTTTCTAGTAGACCCGAGACACGTGGCTTAGCCAATTCTAGATAACTCGGGTGCTTCCTTCTCTCTCTTCTAAAATGCGGATTCCCAACATGCTTTCTCCTTGTCCAATTTTTGTCTTAATTTCATCCAAATTCTCTCGGATGCCCGTGTGCCTCGTCACTTATGAGAGGTGGTCCTTTACATCTCATGAAAGTCCGACAATGTCTTGTTTAATCCGGTTGAGTCATCTGTTTATGACATTCTTGCATTTCTTACGTTAGTCTAGAAGATGAGACCTTTTTTATGAGTTTTCTGTGATTCTATCCTAGAATCATTTGACTCGCGAGGTTTCTTTGGGATTTGTTCCTCGCTACTACTTTGTGATTTCTTACTCATGCTTAAATTAGAGCTTATTGATGATGATATATAAACAAAAACCATATTAAACACAAAAGCAACATATATGTATCACTATTAGTCAGTATTAAACAAAATATATGCATCACTGTTAACAGAAAACAATGTATGTCCTAAATAATATAATTCACAAACAATAAAAAATAATCCACAATGAATATTAGTAATTCGTTATGAAACATAATAAAAATTCCTAATCTGCTAGTTCTTGATACCTATTATAACTGCCAATTATCTATTAAATTTCTAATATGTTAGTAAACATAAAAGGATTTTAGATTTCTAACTTTCGACTGTGGTGGCAGTGAAGAAGGATTTTAGATTTCTAATTTTCGACTGTGGTGGCAGTGAAGAAGCTTTGACGATGACAGAGCTTGAAGAACTAAAGAAGGGACGACAAACTCCTCAACGTCAATGAAGCTTGGAGAACTCGATGACAATGGAGAGGAGAGTCGTTGTAGAAGATGGAGCTTTGATGCAGAGCTTGAAGAGTTGAAGAAGATGATGAAACTTCGATGTTTAGGATGGAGCTTTGATGAAGATGGAGCGTCAATGCCACGAGTGGTGGTGAAGGTGGTTGTTTCCATCATTTTGTGAGAAAGACACGGTGCTTCTTGAGATAGGAACGGGAAAGGTACGCCTCACCTTTGTTTAATTCGGCAGTTTTGCCGATAGGGCCTGAATCATGCACCCTGTGTACAACACGTCCGTGGAGAATGGTTGTTTGTTGTTGAGTAGAAGTTCGATAAACTTTGGTTTTTAAGGGAGCTTCTAGTAGAAGCTTGTTGTTTTTTCTAGGGTGATATGAACCCAAATGAAGAGAGAATGAACTCCAAGGAAGAATCTAAATCTTGCGGGTGATATGAAACCTTAAAGCTATAGAAGCTCAGACGAGGGAGTTGGCGAAGTCCAGTAGGTGATATGAACCCTTTTAGACTGTGTGATCTCGCAGGAGGGAGATGGTAATAGTAAGAACCAAGCACTAAGCAAGAGAGCTAATGTGAAAATCAGACCCAATTAGGCTGAGCAAACTACTGTCTGAATTGAACAAACTGACCGAACTGCTTGATTTTGAGTAGTTCGGTTTGGTTCTTCAATGATGTTGATTCAGATCAGTTCTACATTTTTAGGTTAGTGTGAATTAAATTTATCGACTCTATAGTTAATTGCTATCATTTTCTAATTCTCCTTTGGTTTGCCCCACACACCCACATGATGTTGCTTCTCATTTGCAAGCTGTCACTTCGTTTTCGTGTTTCTGTGATCAATAGAGAAAAGTCCATGCATCTTCTTCTTCTCCTAAAAAAAAGAAAAGAAAAGAAAAAAATCAAAGAGACAATTGCCTTAACTTTTACTTCTACATAATCTCTCTTTTCTTTCTCCAATAGTTAATTAAAATTAACATCCACCTTTCTTCTCATTATGAATATGTGATGCATGGGGACAGAGCATACTATTTATGGTTATCAGCATTCCTCATTTCTTGTTGCCTAGTTCTGGAGCATGTAACATATGAAAACCGACCGCATCGAACCAAAATAATTCGGTTCGGTTTAGTTTAGTCTCTTGCTTGGTTCCATTTCGATTTGCTTAACATTGTTTAAAATCGACCGAACCGACCGGTTGCTCACCCCTAGAGCCAGTGTCTCTAGAGAAGAGCTAAGGTTCTAAAATCTCGAGAGCCAAAAATCGTGCGAAAGTAGTACCCTTTGCATGTTGGTGAAGGGTCTCTATTTATAGGCTGAAAACCCTGAGATATGCGGAGCTAAAATGACGCATAGACAATATGACATGAGACTACCCTTGCCAGATCAGAGTTGTACAGTGCTTTAACAGGAACTGTAGTTTACGCAAGGCTACGACTGTCCCTTCATTAAATGTCATGCAGCTTTATAGCCTCACATCATCTGAATTGTGGGCGCCGCATCAGCTCTGCATATTCAAAATGTGGGCAGAGGGGACAAGACCTGATGATGGTTAGCTATTAAAGTTCTTTTTGTACCTCCGTGAATTCTAATTGTAGCCGCACAATCTTCTGCATAAAATGCAGCTGTTCTGTCACCATGTAGAGCTGTCAGAGGTCGATTGTTAAGTTGAGAAGACTAGTGTATTGAGTAACGCTAGCCAGACTTGTGTTAATAGTGCAAACTTGGCTGTTCGTGCCGGGCTTAAAGCTGATTCTTAACCTGCTTTGACTTAGGACTTTGTAGATTGTCATCTTTGGTCAATTATGGACTCGTCACTTTGATGAGCCCATTGGTCATATTGAATGACTATTTAGCCCTTGGTGGATTCCACACACTGTTTGGGCTATTGATCTATGGTCTATCAATTTTGATCGTCCACAGTGTCTAGGAGGGATCGAATTGGGGTGGGAGGTGGGGAGGGTGACATGGAGGTCTGTTAGCAGGAGAGGGGAGTTGCGGCGAAGGCACTAGGATTTTTGCTTTTTAACGGAGGGGATTAAATCGTGATAGGGCGGACACATTTTTTTTGGGTTGTGTTTTAATCAATTGAATCAGTTTTATCGTTTTGGTTCTATTGTTTTGTGGATAGACCTCCTGTACTATTGCCTAATTGTAGACCCCTTGAGTGAATTTTTTCTGACTCTTTTACCCTCAAATGGTTTATTTGTCAAAACAAAACAAAAAGACAAAAACTCTTCCTCTGCAATTGGGTAAAATAGCAAAATAGCATCTGAGGTCTATCTGCAAGTAAACTTTTTTTTTTTTTTTGCTTGAGATCGTACAATGAAATGCAGTTTACATCCAGCAAAGCTACCAATTTGTTAAAACTAGCAATTGTATTTTAGCCATAACCCTAGGAGGTGTAATGTTGCTTGTATGCCTTGGCTAATACTGGTTCAATTTGCTGATCTAATTTCTTGAGTACTGTGTGCAGGGGCACCTTCACACCTACAGGTTCTGTGACAACGTGTGGACCTTCATCTTACAAGATGCCACATTCAAGAATGAGGAATGCCAAGAAACCGTTGGAAGAGTGAAGATTGTAGCTTGTGATTCCAAGCTGCTCAGTCAGTGAGCAGTCTTTTTTTCAACCCTCTTCTACTTTTCTCTCTGTAACACCCATAAATCATGAATTATTTGTGATTCCAAGCTACTTTTCAACCCTCAGTCTAGCTTGAAAAGAAAATTAAAAAGCTCGATATTTCCTTACGTTCATGCTTTATATTGATTCCACGCCATATGAGTTTGATCCCAAATATTTCCTACAAATTTCCGAGATATACATCTTTACTGAACATGAATGTTTCACCTTTGCTTTACTCTTGTTAGCTTCAAATCGTGTAACAATATTTTCTCAACACCACCTAATGCTAGGCGAAAGGTTGTGGTACCAAAGTATTATGATCTGGTTGTTACGTGGCTTGCAATTGTCATGTAAAAAATTGTGATTAAATTCTGCTTATTGCCCTTGACACTCTTCCTCCAGCGTCAGCCTATGTCGAAGGATTGTAATGTGCACGTGTTGATTGAGTTTGCAGGTAAAGAAAAGTTCATCATAAACTACAAGATACTGACTGAAAACAGACCAATATCTCTACTGGAATGAGTTGGAGTTAAGGACTTTATGTCGAAAACGAGCAGGCATTCCAATTGGCAGCGTTAGGCCTGGATTGATACTGGCACAGGTTCTATATATACTATCTGGGCTAGAAATAAACCGCCTGTGTGGTCGTCCATCCTCGGTCCAGTTTAAAAATTTGCGGTTCAGTTTTTGCCGAAGACAAGCCAAACCCGGCCTAAATATTGAGAGTGGTCATACGCAGACCGGGTGTTTCTTACATTGCTATTATTAGCGAAACACGCCTTTTGGTAACCAATCATTTGCAGCACGTGCTCGATGAGTACCTTGTTAGCGTGAGTCTATATTAGGAAGTAAATAATATTGTAATTATGGGTATTAATTACGTAGTTGATTAGAGGAAGTTTCCTTCTGTAATTAGGTAATTAGTTTCTTTCCTAAATTTCTTTCAAGCCCTATATAAAGGGTCCTTTGTATTATGTTAATAGATTGAATTCAATTTATTCTCTTAAATATCTCTCTCTAATATTTGACTTGGTATCAGAGAGTATAGATCTCGTTGTGTTAGGGTTCATCTAGGCTTCGTCGTCCTTGAACGGCCGTCTTTATCACCGTCATCTCGCAACTCTTTGTTGCATTCGTTCACCCACAGCCAACCACCACACCTATATCAAAATCTTCCTCACTCCAAAACGATCGTTCCGGCGTTCGAATCATCACGATTAGAGTTTTTCACACCCAATATTAATGGGTGAATCACAAATTCAAAAGGTCGAGGTATCTGTTCGAAGTTCTGAAGGGAGTTCCTTTGGAGGTACCAAACTTAATGGTACTAATTTTCGTACTTGGAAGAAAATTATGTCCGCTTTTCTCCGCGGGATACATAAGATGGGGCATGTCAATGGAACAATCAATGCTCCCAGTGAAGCTGATACTGAAGCTTTCGATAAATGGGAAGATGATGATGGGTATGTGATGTCTGTATTGTACAAGGCAATGACTGATGATGTGTTACAGATGGTAGAGGAGTGTGAAACCGCTGAAGCCATATGGAAGACGTTGGGGGATCTCTACACCAATGAGTCTGACTTCATACAGGTTCATGAATTAATGTGCAAAGTTGCCAGAATGCAACAAAATGGACAACCAGTGTCAGTGTTTTTCACTAAATTGAAGAATGTATGGGCTGAAATTGATCAGAAACGTCCTTGTAAAATCAAGAATCCCGAGGATATTGCGTGGTACCAAAGGGAAAAGGAACTTGAGCGGGTTCATGCCTTCTTAGGAGGACTCGACGCTAAACATAGTAGTGCTAAAGGAGAACTGCTCAGAATGCCTGAACCTCCTAGTCTGACTGCAGCATTTGCATACATCCGCAAGGATGAATCCCAACAAGACAGTCTCCAACGTGCACATGTTGAAGTTTCCAGTCTGGCAATTCAGTCCAACCCATCTGGCATTCAGTCCAAGCCACCAGCACCCTATAATCAACAACAAGGGTCACTTCCACTTCATCAGCAACGACCTCCACCAGGCTACAACCGTCCAAAATGTACCTACTGTAATGAATTAGGGCATGTTCGAGAAACGTGTTGGAAGCTAAATCCGCATCTTAAACCTCAGAAGCAGGGTTATCGTAATAAAGGAAAAGTTGCTACCGTTCAGTTGGTTCCAGAATCAGATTTCTATGGCATAACTGGACAGGATCATCACTCATCAGGAGGTGCTACTCCCACTGCATCAATAGCTGGTCGAGGTAAAATCGGTATGACATTAAATGTTTCTCATTTTGTTAATTCTGATACTTGGATTATTGATTCTGGTGCATCTGATCATATGACTTATGATAAATCTTATTTTACTGAGTTGTCTCCCCCACCAGTGTCTCATGTTACTAATGCCAATGGTGAAGCTTTTCCTGTGTTAGGAACAGGATCTGTCCGTATTACCCCGACTTTAGAACTTCATCATGTTCTATATGTTCCTGCATTATCTCATCACTTATTATCTGTTCCCCAATTAAATACTGAATCCAAATGCTCTGTGACCTTTTATCCCATGTATGTACTTTTTCAGGATCTTCTAACCAGGGAGGTAATTGGAAGGGGGTATCTGAGGGGCAGATTATTTCATCTGGATCAGATGTACGCTGGGGAGAGACCAGGAGCACCATCCCGTGCCGCTTTGATCTCGAATTCTGATAAATTAAGTGAAGTTTGGTTGTGGCATCGCCGTTTAGGGCATCCCTCTTTCAGTGTTATGAAAAAAACTATGCCTACTCTATTTATTGGTGTTGATGAATCAGTTTTATGTTGTGAAACTTGTGTTTTGGCTAAGAGTCATCGTGCTACTTATTCTTCCAGTCTTTCTAATAAAAGTGTTATTCCTTTTGCTTTGATTCATTCTGATGTTTGGGGGCCCTCTAGAGAGTCTACCGTTTCAGGTATGCGATATTTTGTGTTATTCATTGATGATTGTACAAGACTGTCATGGGTAGTTCTACTTAAAACCAAAGATGAAGTCTTTTCAGCCTTTCAAGCTTTTCGCAATCTTATTCACACACAGTATAACAGTACCATTAAAATTCTTCGGTCTGATAATGGGGGGGAATTTGTCAATAATGCCTTCCGCGAATTTCTTCAAACGCATGGTATTATTCATCAAACCACGTGTCCTCAAACACCAGAACAAAATGGAGTTTCTGAAAGAAAAAATCGTCACTTGCTTGATATGACTCGTGCCCTTCTCTTTTGTGCTCATATGCCTAAATACCTTTGGGGTGATGCTGTACAAGCTTCCTCCTATCTTATTAATCGCCTTCCTTCTAGTGTACTTCAGGGAAAGATTCCACTCGAGGCACTTGCATCTCATGTGTCGTTACCGTCATTTCATAACCTTCCAGCTCGTGTCTTTGGTTGTGTTGTCTTTGTTCATATTCCTAAAAATCAAAGGTCAAAGTTAGATGCCCGAGCGATTAAGTGTGTGTTTGTTGGTTATGGAGGATCTCAGAAGGGGTACAAGTGTTATCATCCACCTACTCGCAAGTATTATGTCACTATGGATGTTACTTTCTTTGAAGACATGAGTTATTTCTCCTCATCTGACTCTGCTCTTCAGGGGGAGAATTCGTATTTTGAAGAGCTATCTCATAGTGAGGAGGAAAATCCACAGGTAGAAGATGTTATACAGGCTGTTCCAGTTGACATTCAGATTCAAACACCAGTTCAGACACAAGAACTCATGACTGCCCCGATTCAAACACCAGTTCAGACACAAGAACTCATGACTGCCCCGATTCAAACACCAGTTCAGACACAAGAACTCATGACTGCCCCCTCTACTACTGCTCATACCCCCGATCCACAACTTCCTCCTGGTGCTGAAGATCACTCATTCGAGGTATGTTCCCCCACTAGTACTACTAGTAATGAGTCTAGTGTGTTACCTAATCGGTCAACCCGTGGTCAGCCAGCCAAAAGATATGAACCTTCCCTTCATGCCAAATCAAAGTATCCAGTTGCAAATTACATTTCCACTAGTAGATTATCTAAGTCATATGAATCATTTGTGAATCAAATATCTGCTGTATCAGTTCCTAACAAAGTGCAGGATGCCTTAGATGATCCTAAGTGGAGAAGGGCAATGGAGGAAGAGATGGAGGCGTTGCAGAAAAATAATACTTGGCAACTTGTTTCCTCGCCACAAGGCAAGAGGATCGTAGGTTGTCGTTGGGTGTTTACGGTAAAGCACAATGCGGATGGATCTGTAAATCGGTATAAAGCCCGTCTTGTAGCCCAGGGGTTCACTCAAACATATGGGATAGATTACGATGAGACATTTGCTCCTGTCGCAAAAATGAATACTATTCGGGTTCTACTATCTCTTGCGGCGATTTTTAATTGGCCTCTTCAACAGTTTGATGTCAAGAATGCCTTTCTTCATGGAGAATTGGCTCAGGAAGTTTACATGGCTCTCCCACCAGGGTATGTGGCAGCTTCTTCTGGTGATTTTGTCTGTAAATTGGAGAAATCATTATATGGGCTCAAACAGTCTCCTCGCGCATGGTTTGGAAGATTCTCACAATTCATGAAGAAGGTGGTTATAGACAAAGTAACTCAGACCATACTCTATTTCTGAAGCACCAACAAGGGAAGGTAACAGCATTGATTATTTACGTTGATGATATGGTAATCACAGGTGATGACACTATTGAGGTTGATAGATTGAAGAAACAGTTGGCCTCTGAGTTTGAAATGAAAGATTTGGGAGAACTTAAGTATTTCTTAGGGATTGAGGTAGCAAGGGGGAGTGAAGGAATCTATTTGTGTCAACGGAAGTATATTCTTGACCTGCTGGCAGAAACTGGCATGTTGGATTGCAAACCTGTTGACACTCCTATTGAACAGAATCATTGTTTAGCAGAGTATCCAGACCAAATACCGACTGATCGAGCTCGCTATCAGAGATTAGTTGGACGTTTAATCTATTTGGCTCATACTAGACCAGATGTGGCTTATGCTGTCAACGTGGTGAGTCAGTTCATGCATAATCCAAGTACGAGTCACATGGATGCAGTAATCAGAATTTTGAGATACTTGAAGTCATCCCCAGGAAGAGGAGTGATTTTTTCTAAACACAATGATTGTCTCGAAGTTTGTGGTTTTACGGATGCAGATTGGGCTGGGAGTGTTACTGATAGAAGGTCGACTTCAGGGTACTTTACCTTTGTAGGAGGTAATCTTGTTACGTGGAAGAGCAAGAAGCAGAAAGTTGTGGCTAGATCGAGTGCTGAGGCCGAGTATAGGGGGATGGCTCATGGAGTATGCGAATTGTTGTGGTTGCGAGCCTTATTGTGTGATCTGGGTTTCGAACCTAAAAATGCTATGCAGCTGTACTGTGACAACCGGGCAGCCATTGATATATCACAGAATCCAGTCCAGCATGATCGTACTAAGCATGTGGAGGTTGATCGTCATTTCATAAAGGAAAAGCTAGATGCCAACCTTATTAGCTTTCCTTTTGTCTCCACAGAAGAGCAGCTTGCAGATATCCTCACAAAAGGGGTTTCGAAAAGGGCATTCTACGACTCACTTAGCAAGTTGGGCATGGTTGATGTGTATGCCCCAACTTGAGGGGGAGTGTTAGCGTGAGTCTATATTAGGAAGTAATAATATTGTAATTATGGGTATTAATTACGTAGTTGATTAGAGGAAGTTTCCTTCTGTAATTAGGTAATTAGTTTCTTTCCTAAATTTCTTTCAAGCCCTATATAAAGGGTCCTTTGTATTATGTTAATAGATTGAATTCAATTTATTCTCTTAAATATCTCTCTCTAATATTTGACTTACCTAACGCCCGCACCACCCCCCGCGACAATTATCAATACAAGTCTATATATATATATATGAAGATTCCTTTAATTGGGTCTTCATGTAATTAACTTTTGATAATTGTATTGAGTCACATTGCTGCACGCTGCTAGATATGATCTATAGACAAGGTTAGGACTCGAGATTGATCTTCCTATAGAGACCATTATTGTGATTGGTATATACTCGGGGGCTACATACATACACACAACATGTTCATTTGGTCCTCCGTCCTCTCTCTTTAGGAAATATCGAAACCTCGACTCGAAATTTCATTTCGAGTTTTAATGATAAGAAAAGGAACTACCATGATATGAACTCTCACGTCCTCCCGGTGTCAGAATGGAGGTTGAAAATTTTAGAAGAAGAAAAGGGGTCCAACTATTCACACTCCCAAACAGTAACTTTGGGGGTGTGTGAGGACTAAATTGTCCTTCTCCCAAACCAAACCAGGCCAAATCCATTCCAGAAACACCCTCAACATCAAAATGGCATTTTCGACAATCCAACTCCCAAAATTACTGTTTGGGAGTGGATATAGCAAACATGGAAGAAAAGTCTGCAATCAGAAGCAAGCTCCCGGAACGAGGCTTAGATACGCAAAGGGACCATAATTAACCAAAGAGCTGTGATTTTGATCTAGTCGCCATCTCGGGAGTAGTATAAGTTATACAACAGTAGGAGCATTTGTTAAACTAATTTGTATTATCAATTACCACTAAAAAAAGTATTAGGTGAGAATAATGAACTATTAGGAGTCACCAAAAGCCATCAGGTTCAGATACAATTCATGGTCTCCTACTTCCTGGAGTCCGTCTCATTTCCTTGAGAATCCATTCTTGCACCCTAGTTGCAAATAAACTATTACATTTTCTTCGGGGTTAATTTCACTTAATGTTGGCCGGTTTCTGACATAACCCCCAGAATTTTGTTTATTCCACTTAACCCCTGTAAAATTGTTATGTAATCCTCGAAGCAACACCGTGAACTTTCAAATATTACACGTGATGGAAAAAGCACGAAAGTGCCCCCCAATTGTCAAAAGTTACCCTGTTCAAAAGGAATATTTTCATTATTTCCCCTTAATCGGTAAGGAGATCAGTTAGGCGGCGCACGCCCTCTGAGGAGAAAACTCTGAAGTTCCGAGATAACCCGAGTTAAAGGGGCTCAAAAGCCCACAAAGTCCCAGTGGTTAAGTGAAATTAACCCCGTTTCTCTCTTCCCTCCTCCTAATTGGATAGGTTGTAACTATGACTACCGCATGCAAACATATTAATCTTTTTGCAGGCACGGGTGGATGAGCGGGGGATGTTTTCTTTGCTGATGGTGGAACTCTTGGCCGGAAAGCTAAAAGATCTCTTACTGACCACCCAAGCCTTGGGCGGCTTTTAGGTAAATTTGCTTGTTTAGTTGTCGCTTTCACAAAAAAAGGAGGGCGTTAGCGCCAACTAAGAATGATCATGTACATTTATGTGTTTGTTTAGTGATTGTAGCTTTGGCTTTACCTACCAAATTGCGTATGACCCTTTTCTTTAGTGATTGTAGACTTTTGACGATTTCTTCCTTCCCCCCTACTTATTTTTGCTTGAAACTCTATCCTCTGCTAATGGTTTATGATGGCCGCATTGCTTTATTACAACAACAACAACAACAACAACAAGGCTAACCAAATCTATTTGAACCATGCACACATGCATAATTTACGTCAAAACGTAAGCATAATTTACGTCACAATTACGTACATGAATCTATCAAGACGTCTTAAAGGAACACGGTCTCGACAAAAATACGAGAAAACACATCTGCGAAGCAAGGCAACAAGCCTGAAAACAAGCAACAAACTGACATTCTCTATTCGGTAGCCGGATGATCAAAACATTTATCCAACTTTCCCGAAGATAAATTCATCAAATCAACCGTCACTAAAAAATGTTGGAGCTCAATAGCAGTATAATAATTCCACTGTTCGACTAGCAAGGACTGAGGCCAAAAGATGAACGCTACCAAAGAAAACTCCCCAAAGAAGAGCAAACAAAATTTCAACGAATGATATCCATGAACACCAGCGTCATAAGAAAATAGGAACCATGAAATCTTAAATCAATTATAGTCGAATAGATAGCACAGAGAAGCGACTACAAATTCAATAACAGCTCTGCTCTAAGCAAACGAAGCGTTTGTGAAATCGGTAGAAGCTTTGCATATCATCAACATTCTATAGTAAGCGTGAGCCACAAAAGTTTTATGAAGTCTTTAGAAGCCATTAACTGTAAGCATACGAAGATCCGTCACCAATTATGCTTTGCTTACCCTCTTTGACAGCAGCTCAAATAAGGAAGCATCTAGTTCGCAAGTTAGGAGAGAAACACAAATGCTTCTTGGAGAACTGTAATTTTGTAGGACAAAAGCCAGACTGAGATAAGTTTCCTGGAGGGTCGTAATTTTGTTGGACGAGGCAGATAAGTTTCTTGGACGGTCATAATTTAGTAGGACGAGCTAGCCATGAACAAATATACAAGGCAAGTACCTCGTACTGTTGTAAGACTTGAATGATTTTTAATTGGAAATTCCATAATATAGATGCAAGCAGAAAGCTGGAAAAAATGAATGAGATGAATATAGTTGAAATTTCTGGGGAAAAACTACTTACAGAAAACATATACATGTCTATATGCGAACGTTATTGGTTCATGAAGCCGAAGCAGTTCTGAAGCAGTTCTGAAAATTCTAGAAGCTCGCTGAAGGATCTTAAAAATCCTAGCTGGTTATAAACCAGAAAATATAGTGTGGAGGACTAGTGACTATCAGAGGATGATGACCTTGGTTCATGGAGACGAAGCGGTTCTAAAACTTTAAGAGCTCACTGAGGCAACCGTAACAAGTAGATACCATATCCACGGCTTCATAAGTGAAACTTGGGTAGGTCACCTAACTCTAAGTTTAATCAAACTTTCTCCCCCAAAATCCATTGAAGCATTCGACTCCAGCAGTGCAGCCGAAGGAAGAAGGCCAGCAGAACCCACATATCCTGTAGGTCTGAAACATAAGAATCTGATGGCACAATTCTTCAGGAAACATATTCGATTTACCTCTGACCTTTTGACATGTAGCTCTTCGAGCCTCTTATGTGTAAAAACAAATAAAGGGTCGAGTCATCAACACACCGGGAGAAAGTGTCATGCACACAGAAGCATCTAGAGAGCAAGAACCAATGAAGATAGCAGTGTAGGCGAACAAAACCACGTGAGGTAGGACGACAAAAGCAATTGAGTACTGAAGTGTGGCGAGCCGCTAAAGCGAGACCACGCCTCCTCAACACAAGAAAACAAAGACAATTTATCTTTTAGTGACATTCTACAGGTCCTTGTAATATATCCCTACTTAATTAAAAAACGACAATGATATAGGAAATATATCAAATTCTAATAGAGTTCAAAGAGACTTAACCAAGTTTAAGAAGTTCCCACAGGATCGCTCTTTAAAACACAGTTAATTAGCAACATAGGGCTACCCTTCATACAGATCATGCATCTAGCATCAAACAGTTCTTAGCTCCTGCTGCGACGCCTATCCCTGTTAGTGGATATAATAACAACGATAATTCTTATATACTCTTGTAGCATAAAAACTTAAGTGAGAGGAAAAAAGTCAAAATAATCAAATAATCAGCTAATTAGGTGATGTACCCATTGGCATAAGGCGATATGTCACGACGACTACGGCGAGATGGTGGTGACCTGCTGTAGCTGCGGCGGCGTGGTGGTGTCAAACTGTGACGGCGTGGAGAACGATAACGAGGACTGTAGCTCCTGCTCAAAGGCAGTAAAAGTTAGAATTCCACCATCAAACAGCATGCATTATCATTTGCTAAGGAGCAGCAGCATGCGACTGACAAGTTGAGTTGTGTTATACTGTGAGTTCGATGGATTAATCCTAGACCCAAATTGATAAGGAAGATACATACAAATATGGGAATACTCGATATGAGCAGCCAGCTCATTTAGCAATGTAAGTTGTCAAGAGATAGGAGTGTTGAGGTATATGTGATTCTTCTATGAGACTATTATGATGGGTCTCACCAATCGTCCATATCTTGGTAGCTTATACATTAAAATCGTATCAGGTGTACATGTGTGCATGCTTGAGTGCAATGCGTGAGTTAGATACATAAATCCTGAAAATTAATTGATATTAAAGATACAAAAAACTGAATATCAACAAAAAACAGAGAAAGACAACATGTAGAAATATCCAAAATTACACTGTATGAGCTTATGCAGTAGAAGAATTGAAACGAACATAGACAAGTAGCTTTCAAGAATGTAAATGTTTTCTTTGCTAATCACCAAATCCAAGTTGAAAAACATGAAGCCAAATATATAAATGAAAAACATTAAATTGTGTACACAATAAGCTAGAACTAATATTCAAGTGATTAGCATTTTCAATCAACCCATAGGAACTAAATAAAAGTTATAAAGTAACAAAACTGATATCCTCAAAATTTTATTTATTTATTTATTTTTGTATCCAAGATCAGAACTATTGTAATGTTATTACATATCTGCATTATCATCTATAACAACAATGCTTATAATTCACTCGAGGTCATCGAGAGTGTCATTCCCAACTATTCAGTGATTGATAAGTAGCCTCCATCGCTAACTAAAATGCTACAGTTTTCAAGTAGATATCTAACTACTAAATTTGCAAGCTCAATCAAGGTAAAGACTAAAGATTTTACACGTTAGTTATTTAAATTCACCAAAAGAACTTATGTTATCACAACGAAAGAGCGTGGTAATGGGTTTTAACTTCCACATTTAACTAACATGAATAACACAAGATACCTATCACCTATGCATCCAGCACAGAAAGACTTAATATAGGAAAATGGATAACAAACTGTTTCGGCAGCTAAACACGACAGACCAAAAGTAAAGATTGTGACCTATGAGGCACACTCACGTAATAGATCTAATCACGTTTAGTATATCCCAGGCAGTCAAGTAGATAACGCATGCTTGACGACCCCTTCGCAGTGCTTGCAAACTATTACTATGTGGCATTTATAAGAGTGTGTTTTTGTGAATCTTCCTTGACCTAGTTAAGTCCTTCATCAGACTCGGTTGGTCCCAAGGGGAAGCGGTCTAATCTTAACCTGGTTAAGGGGAGAAAAATGAGAAAAACTGGGCCAAATTGGTTCAGTTTTTTGCCAAACACAACTCAACTCCTTAATCAGGTTAATGGTTGTCGAACACAGCAGATTCATAAAACAGATGTAACTATATCCATGCAGGGATACCAGTGCGTATGGTCTTGATGTAGAGCTGTTCATTTAGAAACAATTACTGCATAAAGGAAAATGCTGAAAATTATATCCTTCCTTCCCCTAATTCCAAAAGACACAACACAATATTATTGGTACAAGGAAGTTAAGGAAGTTTAGGGAACAACTCAACCCACAACACGATTTCTATAACTGCATATAAGGTTTTCTCTTCCGACCTAAGATTGATATGAAAACCACAAGTTAAAACATCAACAGTAACTAACAGCCAAAAGTATTTGAGACACCAACTTTGTAGCACAACTATACTATCATTTCCAGAAGGTAACAAATTGAAGCGAAAAACTGAATCATGTCAACCCAATGACGTCTCCAACCTGTGGTAGCTATATTATATAATTAAAGATGGTTACCAAGCACAATTATTGCAGAATGATGATTTTCTTATCACATCCTTAAGGCAACGAATGGATGTAATGCAAAACAAGGTAAAAGTAGATCTCCATAAGCATCTGTAGCTAGATACACGATATAATTACCTCCGACCGTAGCTAGGACTCCTGCGGTATCTGGGACTTGGACTGCGACGCCTTCCGCTGCCTAATCCTCCAGGACCAATGCGCAACCGGCATTCACGAGCAAAGTGACCGGGCTCACCACACTCGTAGCATTTGAGATCAGAACCACCCCCATAACGGTCCCGACCACCACGTCCACCATCACCACCACCTTTTGAGTTATGAGAAAGCTCCACTCTCCAGCCATGCTTACCTATATAGAAAGAAGATATAGAAAGAAGATTTGAAGACACGAGAATTAGGGTGTGAGCAGCATAAACTGAAGTATTTAGTGATCAACTATTGTCAAATACAGCTGGTAGTTGTACTGAAGCAGATTAAATTAGAGGCGCCAGAAGTATCTCAGCAGTAGAAATTCAAGCTAGAAATATTCCTCGATCAAAATCTGAATTTAATTAATTTCCTGAACAATCAGAAAGAATTTAAAATTCATCCCAGTCTCCAATATAACACTGCTTTATAATACAACTATTAAAACTCCATCCACACCACAGAGGGAAAATGCTGGAAGAGATACTAAAATGGAAGTAAATTAGTGATATTTCATCTATGACGGGTCAATTAAATATAATCAATTACTCTAGAACCACTACATTGACCAAAACACCTATATATTTCCGATATAGAACTTGTATCATAACCATTAACAATTGTTATTATTCAGAACTAAGCTTAGACTGTGCACTAGTAAGCAGAAGGCTACTAATGATCACAAATATTAAGAAATTAATAATTTTAAGTCAGAAAAGAAGCACTAACAAGCGTTTTATAAAAATCAATCAGTAATTATTGGGCCTCATTACATAGCAACTGGTTTTTTTTAAGAAAGACTATCAGTGTAGATGTTTAGATGGATTAACACAATACTCAATTTCTTAATATTTCACCAAAAGCTATAAGCTTTTTTCTGACTTTATTGGGTAAAATTCTAGTTTTGCATAAAGGTTTATTCATCTCTGCGTATAGAAGTCCCGTCTTTAAAAAGTAAAGATCTGATTCTTTCTCCCCAATACATAAATTTATCTTTTCCATGCAGGACTCCTACTTAATTAGAAGCCTTGAGTCAGGGAAAATATGTAAAATGTGTTACTAAACTATCAAGTGTTTGTGTTGTTCCTGATGTCAGAGAAGCTGCCAGGTGGCAAGATGGCAAAGGCACCACTAGCAAGTATAGTATGTTTTTGAGGAAAACTCTGAAAATATCCTCATCTCAAAGTAAAAAATACATGCAGAAATACAACAAAAGAAGAAAATATTGAACACCATAGAGATAATATCTATCATATATCCAAATATAGTTAAAGCTAGTATTCACCGACATCTGTTGGGCATAATCTTCTTGATAGAATATCCTCAATTACTCTGATATTTGAATAAGAACCATAAGTTTTTCATGCACTCTATATAACCAAAATGTGCAAAAATGTACAGCAACTTTGTGCATACCAGCTAAATTGACCTCATGAGTTTACTTATACAAGTTTTTTTGCTTAGATACAACTATATCTCAAGCAGAGTACTAGCCTATTCAAGTGAATTTTTATTCTGTACCAGGAATTTTTGAATGTTGTAGACATCTATCTCGGACGAACAACATTACATGCATATACATGATGTTAATCATATCAATAAAGGTTAAATCTAATAAGAAAATCACACAATAGTGTGGCATTAGACCTAATTACCTCTGACTACCAAACAATAACACCTTAATGGAAAAAGGGTCCACTGGTCTATATGCTTCTATATATACTTCATGTCTGCTTAAATTTCATCTTACAGTTTATCTTTTGATTGTTTGCTTGTAAGAATATAGAATGTTTATATGTTGAGTAACAAGGTGAAAGAATTAGAACGACATGTAATCAAATCATAAACCAGTCTTTGTATATGACTGGTATATGAGAATTATCCTCTGGATCAATGTCAAATCAGGCCCAAAGTAATAATAAAATGGGTTAGCTATATACTTTAATGTTACCTATGGTTTATGATTTGATTTATAAAAGCTTCATCAAGGGTTTTAATGAGAAGCTAGGCGGGACATTATGATTCTCGCTAGCCCAAAATGGGTAATTTTCATACCCTTCTGCATAAGAAGAGTTTTCATCCATGCACTTGATTTTAGAGATAATGTTGGATAAAAAGTTTCATGTAGATATTTCTGTCTTAGTTTTTCGGGATCATTCATTATAGAAATATCCTCTGGTTCTAGATACAGAACCACTTCTGAAATGAGCTTTTGTCCATTCGACTTCTCTTTTTACTATTGAAGTAAAAGGTTCAGGATTATTTTCCTGTGAGATAAAATCGTCGGTCGATACTCAAAATAATATCTTTATTATCCAATATATCTTACAATAGAACACTCTTAATTTACAGAGGGAGATAAACAGAAGAACTCTCAGACTCTCTTCTCTTACAATCTTTTATTCTCTCACACAAGCTTTGCATAAACTTCAGACCCAACTTATATTTATAGACGTCGTTCCGAACTTCTGAAGGCTTCGATTCTTTTCTCACAACGACGTGGCATCTTTACTTTTCAAAAGTATAACTTTTAAAAAGTAAACATCATCTCTTTATTAAAGTAGCTTTTATAAAGCTTCTTTTAGAAAGCTGCTTTATAAAGTAACTTTATGGAAAGAGAATTCTAGACGGCTCCCCGAGCCCCGAGGCTCAATCTAGATTTTAATACTGCTTATGAAGTGAGATTTTTGCCTTTAAGGTCTGGCAAATTAGTGTCAAATATTTCTGTCCAAATATCATCCGGATCTTGAGCATCTTGAATAGGGATATCTTCTTCCATAGAATGGTGACTTCTGGTATCACCAGTATCAAAAGCTTCTACAAATCATATAAGAGAGTCTGGGTATTCAGATTATAGGATCTAACACATCTTCGATTCTTTTATTAAAGTATAACTTCTTGTATACACATCATGAAACATCCCAGACCTTTTATAAAGGCATAAACGATTTAATCTCACAGGAAAATAATCCTGAACCTTTTACTTCAGTAATAAAAAGAGAAGTTGAATGGACAGAATAGCTCATTTCAGAAGTGGTTCTGTATCTAGAACCAGAGGATATTTCTATAATGAATGATCCCGAAAAACTAAAACAGAAATATCTGCATGAAATTTTTTATCCAACATTATCTCTGAAATCAAGAGCATGGATGAAAACTCTTATCATGCAGAAGGGTATGGAAATTACCCATTTTTTGGGCTAGCGAGAATCATAATGTCCCGCCTAGCTTCAGTAAATGCATCATCTAAGAAGTTATACTTCCTCGAAATTGGGTCATTAATCCAAATCAAGAGCTACCATTGGTAAAAGCCCAAAACTCTAGAGAAATATATTTTTTTAATTACTGGGACTATAAGCAGGCCTTTCATGATGTGTTCTTATACTAGAACCCAAGGAATAAACATACTTAGCTGATTAAACTCTGTCTAGAAGCCCTTAAAAAGGGTATCCCAACTTCGTTCTATAAATGGTGGAAAACTTATGGTATTGAAATAAGTATTATTCCTGAACAATTGATGAAGTTATACTCATCATGAGTTGATTCCCATCCTATTCTTGCTAAAATGGATGAAAGCCAGCTCATAAATGGCATGTGTCTTATTCATTTCTTTGCTGAAGCAGAGATACCTTGAATTTGGAATTGATCGTTTGAATGTGATTGGACTATTTCTCATATACCAGCCCTTAAAAGAAAAGTTCGATTGTCGTTGGTGGAATGGCATTTGCCTTGAAACCAAAGTTAAACAATTGGAAGAAATAATTCAGAAAAATACTTCTGTTCTTGAGACTCATATGACTCAAGAGATTCAAAAGGAAAATCCGATGCTAAAAATAGCAAAAATGATGAGGAAATATCCTCAAAGTTCTGAAGTAGAAATTCAACAGAAGTTCTTAGAATATTTCAAAAGACAATTTGTAGAAGCTTTTGATACTGATGATACTAGAAGCCACTATTCTATGGAAGAAGACACCCCTAATCAAGATGTTCAAGATCCGGATAACATTTGGGCAGAAATATTTGACACTAATTTGCCAAATCTTAAAGGCAAAAATCCCGCTTCATAAGCAGTATTAAAATCTAGATTGAGCCTCGGGGAGCCGTCTAGAATCCTCTTTCCATAAAACTACTTTATAAAGCAGCTTTCTAAAATAAGCTTTATAAAAGCTACTTCAATAAAGAGATGTTTACTTTTTAAAAGTTAATACTTTTGAAAAGTAAAGATGCCACATCGTTGTCAAAAAAGAATCGAAGCCTTCAGAAGTTCGGAACGACGTATATAAATATAAGTTGAGTATGAAGTTTATGCAAGTTTGTGTAAGAAAATAAAAGATTGTAAGAGAAGAGAGTCTGAGAGTTCTTCTGTTTACCTCCCTCTGTAAATTAAGAGTGTTCTATTGTAAGATATATTGGATAATAAAGATATTATTTTGAGTATCGACCATCTCACTCTGTAAGTCCTCTATTCATTTTCTTTGTTGATTTTTGTTTCCGCCTTACTATTAACTATATATATATATATATATATTATATATATATATATATATATATATATATATATATATATACTATATATATATATCATATATATTAGTAAGACTCGCTATCAACTTAAGACATACAGGATGACTGAGTTATACGATAAGGGCCTATTTGGTTGTTTCCTAAAATCAAAGAAAAGGAAATTAGATTAGGAAATCGTTAAAATTTATTTTTCATCCATTTCCATCCTTAAGAAAAGATTTATATATATATAGAAGACTCCTATCAACTTAAGTTGATGTCCACCAAACATCCACTCATTTATTAATATAAAAAATCTTTTCATATCATGCAAGAAGATCCCTAGGCAATATGAGAGGCCTAAAAAGTTCGGTGGACAACTTTTTGCTATCCACTTAAGTTGACACAAGTTTTACTCTCTCTCTCTCTCTCTCTCTCTCTCTATATATATATATATATATATATATATATATATATATATATTATATATATAATATATATGCACAAAATAATGAAGAAATTGAAGATAATTAAAATATTCGGACCAAATATAAAAATATGCTTCTCTACATACCATCCATGTCGCGAATTGCATCAAGAGCATCTCGGCGATCATCAAAGTCAATGAAAGCATAGCCAGGTGGTCTTCTGGCTACCCATACACTGCCATCAAAAGAATATAAAGAATTAAGTAGATATACACAAGATGCATTTCGTCATACCTACATCACTGATTAGGAACTTCGCAAATGCCCACAAATAAATCCACAGCCTAAAAGCTTTATTCGGATGATATAGGACTTCACATGGATAAAAAATAATAGTTCCTTATTTTTCTCATCATGCAAAAGCAGAGATATTGCTTTACATTTTTATGCTGCAATCAGATTTAGCACGTAAATAGCCAACAATGGGATACAACAACTGAACAAAGTAAAGGGACAAACTAGATGATTAAGAATATAAACTGCAGTCAAGAAAGAAACAAATGGAATTCTAGATATACCTTCGTAAAACTCCAAACACACGAAACTCGTCTTCGAGTTCCCTCTCAGTCACCCGTGCATCCAAATTGCCGACATAAACCCGGGTCATACTGTCAACTATATACCCAACTCTATAATTAAGAAAATAATAATAATATATCAATCGAGCCTGAAGTTCACAGAACTGATTGCGATAACTCTACAGGATTCATTACAGAAACGTTCTCAGTCAAACCATAAAAAGACATAGAAATTAATACAAAAGAATGATAGGAATCAAAAAGATAAAAGAAGTAAAACTAATAACAGAAATTATTTACTTGAACAGTATTTCCAACAACTAATCAGTTCCAGTTTCCAACAATATTTTAACTGATATAAAAGAAGTAGAAGAAAAAAGAATATGACTTGCTTGACGAAATCAAGTGAATTCTTCAATTTTCGACAAAATCTTGAGGAACTTGCGATGAAATTCGATGATCTAGGGATTCAATTTGAAGTATTAGAGAGGAACAGGGGAAGATTCGTGTGTTACCCGCTTGATTTGCTAAGAATTTGATGGGAATTTTGCGATTTATGATAATTTGGGGCGAACGGGGAAGCGCTCTCAAACCCTAGCGTACAGGCGACGGGAGCTTCTGGATTGTTCGAAATATATAAGGGAGTACATAAAGTTTCTGGGATTTTTCAGCAAAGTATAATCAAGATTTTTTAGTTGCGGAAAACTACAACCGGTTCTTAAAATAAAAGGGGTAATTGCATATTAATCCCTTTACATCTTCTTTAATTACCATGTAGTCCCTCAGATCTCAGGATTTGCAAAAAAAATCCCTTGGGTCTTCATTTTTCTTGCCAATTCACACCTCTGATAGAGATTATAGAGGACAAGAGTATCAACTCTTAATGGAATTTCACCCTAATTAATAAACTTCACATGACCAGAGAGACAACTTGGCAATGAAAATGAATATTTGAGGGGTGGCAATAAAGGATGATCTACGAGACTAATATGCCATTACTTCAAAACTTAATTAAGAAATAACATAAACTATTTTAAATTGTTGCCTGCATTATTGATGGGTTGGATAGAAAATCTAAAACATCCTTGAAATAGAAGAGAAAAGTACAGAAAATATATAAGACTAAACTCTCGAATACGTATCTCAAATCTCAACGTCTCGTACGAAAGCATCTAATGACCTATCCTTATTGTGTGATAGGAGTTGAAGCAATGATAGAAATTAGAGAGTGTAGGTTATATAGCAAACGCCTAAGAGCAACATTTTGTTGTAAACAACCAATAACTTTCAAAATTGTACAATAAACCCAATAACTTTTGAAATTCTAGAAAATCTCCAATAAGTTTACGCATCTTTTGCAGATAACCCCATAAATTTGAATAAAAGACAATATAAAATGGTTTTGAAACTTATTGTGTAATTAGTGTAATTTAGCCAAAAGATACTAAGGGGCTGTTTGTTTCAATTTTTTTGGGGGATATATGGTGGATTTCAAGTTTTGGGATGTAAAAAGTGCTTTTTTTTTAGTTTTGGTATTCCTTAAACTTTGTTTGTTTCATTTTTTTGGGGATATTGAATCCCTAAATTATAAAAAAATAATATATTTTTAGGATTTGTGAAATCATCTCTTTTGTTTTAACTTCTTTTTGGGATATAAGGTGGATTACAAGTTTTTTGGGTTTTAGAATTCCATAAACCATGTTTGTTTCAAAACTAATTTTAGGATATTGAATCCCCAAATAATAAAAAATTATTATATTTTAGAATTTGTGAAATCCTACAATTGAGAGAGGATGTAGGTTGGATATTGATGTATTAATGCTTATAATATAAGATTAATATATTAAATATAATATTATAATAATATAATATTTAATATAATACATCTATTCCTCTATAATTATAGGAGGACCCAAGAATCACTGTTCATGCTTTAGTAAATGCTGCAGTAAATTACTGTAGCATTATATATATATAATATATTATATTATATAATAAATAATATATATATATATTATATATATAATATATATATAATATAATATATTATACATTATATATATATATTATAATAAATATAATATATATATATATATATATATATATATAATATAGATAATTTATATATAATATATAATATTATAAATTTAACAAACAAAATATTATAAATTTTGGTATTCCAAATCCCAAAATATTGATGAAACAAACAAAATTTTAAAGATCCCAAAACATGTAAAAAATTTTATGGATTTCAAATTCTATGGTGAAATCCATATCCATAAATTTTGGGATACAAAACAAACACCCCCTAATAGTTTCTACAAAAGTTATTGGGGTTTTAGTGCATATTTGGAAGCTAATAGGGGTTTATTGCAAGCACGAAAAGTTCTTGGAGATTTAGTGCAATTTATCCAATTAGAAAATCCACCTTAACTTTGAATGATTATCCAACAAACCCTTATAACTTCCAAAATATAAGAAAACATCCTTAAGTTTAAAGGGTTACCATAAGACCTATTTTCAATTTTAAAGATCTATAAGGAGGAATTTTTCAAAACAGCCCCAAAAAGTTTTTTATTTTTAAAAATCGACCCGTTTTTTTATCAAAATCGACCCACTTTTTGCCACGTGGGCTTAATGACGTTCCTAAACAGTCGGGGTTGCCAACCCCGACTGTTTAGGACATGAAAAGAGTTCTAATTGGGGTTTAACACCCTCCTAAACAGTCTAGGTTGCCAACCCCGACTGTTTAGGAACTTCATTAAGTCCACGTGGCAAAAAGTGGGTCGATTTTGATAAATAAATGAAAATCGGGTCGGTTTTAAAAATAAAAATCTTTTTGGGACTGTTTTAAAAATTTGTTCATCTATAAGAAAGCACTTCTTAATAATGTTAAACTGCAAGTTGCACGTGGATGGATAAAATCAGACCAAGGGACAAATTTGTTAGTGAAAATAAGCAGTTCATGTTTTTTTGACTTTTTCCTAAAAGCTTAAAGATAAAGGGGTCTAGTAACCCCTAAAGTTAAGGGGGTTTTCTGAAATATTTGGAAAGTTATGGGGGCTATCTGATAATCATCCAAAATAAATAAATTTTCCCTTCCTTGACAATGTTAGGAAAGTTTTTGTATAATTTGATATGTTTATAAGGCTTCTTTATAGATCTTTATGATGGTCATATATACATATGGTTTTTTCGAAGTTTTAAAGTTCATGTAACCATCAAGGATGCTACCATACACCCCCATAGTTTATTGAGCGCATGTTCTGTTACACAAAAGTAATGGAGAGTTCAAGGTTGGGCATGCAGCGGATAGAGCGGCAGAGGCCAAGGTGGGCAAACATGATCAAGCTTGCAAGGACAACCACCACAGCTTCATCCCGTTCGCTTTCGACACGTTTGGTTTCCTTGCAGCTGATGCGGTGGAGTTCCTCAGGAGGGTTCAGAAATTCGCGAATAAGAATGTGGCGACAGTAGGGTCCGCTGAGTATGTGTTTCGTAGGTTAGGTTTTGCAATTCAGAAAGGATTAGCGGCGCAACTTGTTGCCCGCTTGTCATCATCACATGTGTAATATTTTTATATTAATTAGACTTATAAAAGATTTTTTCGAGGAAAAAAAAAATTTGTTTGTTTCTTTATAAGAACTATTTTCACCATTTTTTAAAAATAGTGATGTGGCAGGCTAACACCTCTACTTTCAAAAAGTTTTTCCACCCCTAAACCCCCCGAAAATAGCATCTCTCATGCGGTCCAAGTATGGCATACGGGGGTATAAGTTTGTAAAATATTGCGATTGAGTTTATCATCGTGCTCTTTATTCCTAAATTACTACAAGCTACCAAAATTACATGATTTACGGATGACATGATTTATAGAAGAGAGCCAAAAAATTCGGCAACTTCGTTTCAATTACTATTTCTACCCTTGATTGACACGAGCGATATTTCAAAATAGCTTGTGGAATTTTCAGTGATTTGAGGAGGGTCCAGTAGTTTCAGAATAAAGTTAAGGACGTAAAACTCAATGTCTTGAGGGACTAATTTGATAATATGAAAGACTTAACTGTCTCCTTAAACCCTCAGCAATCCCCTAGCTGAGCCCTCAGTCCAGTCCGGTCCAGCTCCAAGCCATGTTCTCTCTCTCCCGCCAAATTTACCCTAATCCGTTCCAATTTATCCCTAATCTCAACCAAACCCCCTCATTTCCCTCATTCCGCTTGGATTTCCCTCTCAAACCCGCACCCTACCCCTCAATTAGGCAACAAATCAAGGCGTCGTCGACGAGAGGAATCGAGGGGGACGGCGATAACTTGTCCTGGCCATGGGACGAAAAGCCCTACGAGATCCTCGGAGGGGGGAGGATATCGTATCTCGATGAGCAGGACATCGCCTGCTTCCTCGATCCCCCGAAGGATCTCATCCCCATCGATCCCGATTCCTACAACCCCGCTGCCTATCTTTGGTTTGTTTGTCTGTTTGCCCTCTGTCTGTTTGATTGTTTGCTTCGACGGGATTATTAGCTGCGTAAATTTCACGAAACCCCCTGAACTTTGGGGAGTTTAACGAAACACTCCTGGACTTTCGGAGCAAATTCCTTAGCAGATGAAACTTCTCCAAAGTTCAGGGTGGTTTTGTCAAACTCCCGGGAGTTGCGGGGTTCTTGAATTTATCCTGGCTAGCCCATCAGGTTTAACGATGAAAGTTCTAATTTTGTATTCAGCATCTAGTCATGATTCTGTTCAATGATTAATTCATTACGCTTCACTGCTTAGTATCATCTTTTAGTTCATTATTGTCACTGCTCAAGTGGCAGTTGATTGTGTGGATAGTTTAACTCTACAGGAATCACATGAATGTTGCCATTTGGATGGACTTTATATGTTTTTGCATCTACTTTGAGCGTTCCTGTTGATATTTATGTACTATAGAGATCATGATTTTTCTATACGAGGCCCTGAAGTTGACTTCTCGGTGAAGAAACCCCAATCTCCGCAAATTTTCTACTAAGAAGGCCTCCTGCGTAATGCTACATTTTCATGCATAAGCTAAATCCCAAATTCTTAGTTCTCATGATTCTAGTGCTTCATAAGTAACATCCATCTTCCAAAGAAGATCCCTCTCTTGTAGGTATCTAGCATTAGCATATAAAATCACAACCTGCGATGCTTACACCTTCTTCAGAGTTTTGGTGTAGTGGAAGACTGGAAGGGACCTTTAACATGGTATTAAAGCAACCAAAGTTCAACTTCCACTAAGCACAAATTTAAAGTGCATTAAGAAAAAAGATACTGCTGTGTGAGTCCAGATTTTTCCCTTTCACAACCAAAGTTAAACTTCCACTAGACACAAATTTAAAGTGCATTAAGAAAAAAGATACTGCTGTGTGAGTCCAGATTTTTCCCATGAAAGGGTGCTAGACCTGCGAGCCATATTAGATTATAACATACAACTCTCAGTCCTCACCATGACTTTGGAGTTTTGGTGTAGTGGAAGGGACATTTGACACCTAGCCATCAACATTACATTTGCTGATTCTTTTTCTTACAATCTGCTAGTTTCATAAGACTCAGATATGTTCCTTGTGGATGATTGTGTACTGAACTTATAATGTCAATTTGCCTCATATACAGGAAGAAGCTTGGAGATATTCCTGAAGAAAGAAGGCCTCGTTTACTTTCTACGCTTGAACCTAGGTGATTTACGATTTATTGATTATTGTGGGATGCTCTTCACTGTGTTCATGATGCATCTTCTTTGATTTATACTCTACATGGGTGGCTATAGTCTCAATTATGTTTCCAAAGAAAAAGGATGTAATTTGTAATATTTGTCTATGCAGACTCATATCTAGGATGTGGGAAATAGTTGGAACCCGCTATCAGGATGCTAAGCTGGCCAAGCAAAGTGCATCTACTTTGTTGCATATGGGTGATAGTCCAATAACACAGGAACGCTGGGCTTGTAGGACAAGCAAAGGTGCTTATGTCATATGTTTATTGGACTTTTTTTTTGGGTGCATAAATCAAACATGATGATTTATCCGTTTTCATTTGAATCGTTTTCCATAAATCTGCAAAATTTATACTTGTGGAATTGAGAAGTGGTTAACTGGCTCCACGATTATCAATTATCATGTAAGACTAGTACTCAGCATGTCTGATGTGAAATTACTGATTACACTATTTACAAATTGTTTATTGTTTACCAAACATACAATTCTGTTTCATTCTTGTAACAACGTGGCAAGAGATAGTGGTCCTCCATGAATAAGATAGCAAGAGATTCACCACTATATGTGGTCTATATCATATGTGCGTAATGTTCATGTTCCTTATCATACTTGATATGATATATGTAGAGATTTTCTTGCAATCAAAATGCTTAATATCTACTCTCTGTTTTGCCATCAAATTAATCAAGTTAACTTTCTCTCTTGCTCTGAGCTACTTGTTCTATTGATTTGCTGTCCTCTGATCAACTTTGTGAAACAGGACCTTTGCCTATCACTTGGAGTTGGATAAACGACTTTAAGCAGGTACAGTTTCGCATGAAAATTCTGAACATCATCTTTTTACCATTTGCTTTTGCCTGTTTCACTATATGTTGTACCGAACTTATGAAATACTGTTAGAAACTTTCTCATGATTCAGGCTATTTTTCGTGGCAATGACGGGGGTTTGTATGGACGAATGATCTTTGGTAAGTATTATTATATCATTACCCATATCGGCATATCCTTAAAATCTTATGACTACATCCTAGTATTTTGTATGCTAGTAACATGTGGAGAGTTTTCCCCCTTCATATTTCACTATCGATTTGTTCAGTCTCCAGAATCACTAAATAACTGTGAAACTCTCAAACTGTTCTTTGTTTTTTCTAGACGTTTCTGTTTTTCGCTTTGTATTGCAGCCTTTCTCTCTAATAAATTATAAGTGCACTCTATAATCAAACAGATGGCCGCTTTGCATATGTAATGAGGAAACTTTAACTTGAGAAGGATCTTTAAGTTTATATATGTTGACTCTACAGTGGGCTTTTTTGTCTAAACCCAGAGATATTACGTTTCAGTTGCATTTTCAACATGTCACTCACGTTTTGTTGTTCCTTTTTCCACTCAAGTGCGAAGAAAGATTGAGTTTCTGCATGGTGTGTGTGTATCTATTCTTTCCATCTGTTTTTGTGCATCCTTATCTGGAATTCTATGACTTTTGTGACGCATTTATGTCTTCTAATGTGTTCTGTTTGGTTTAGGCTGGTGTCTGTAGCATTGTAGACAATTCAACAATATTTTTTTATAAAAAAATATTTGCAGGTGGATTGATTCCGGCTAGTGTAGCAAATCTATATGGTCCGCTATACTTCACAGTACGACAGGTTACGGAGGTCATGTCAACAGAACAACCTTGCGATTTAGCTTATGAGTTTGATGATGGCCTATTGGATCTTCATGACTTCCCTGAAGGCTTCCCCAAACCAGGTAGTTAGGCCTTAGATGATTAAATTTCAAACTTTTTGCATTAAGCTTGGAAAATTTATGATTTGACTGGATCACTTGCATACGGATCAATTTGAGACGTACTCATTTAATTTGGCAAGTCTGGCAGGAGTCCTATGTTTGAAAATAAAATTTTAGATTTATACATTAAAATTAAGATATTTGACATACTGGATGCTTTGGACCCATAACTAATAATATTGTCTGTGATATTCTTTCTCCAAGTATGTTAAGTTTCCCACTAAAGAGAAGGTGATGCACGCCTAATATATATATTAACAACAAATGCAATAAATAAATAAATAAATGCAACAATTAAATAAAAATCTAACCAGAAAGGGGGCTTTTTTTAGTTCAATATTGTTAATAAAATTCCAATGCAGAGGACAAAACAGAAATTAGCACAACTGAAAACGTCCACAGATGATGACCAGCTATATTTTTATACCATAAACTAATACCCTCTGTCAACCAAACTGGATTAATAACTCGTTGAAAGTTATGAGGACAGCAGATAAAACTTCTCTAAATTACCTCTGTTGTTGATTACATTTCGGCTATATGCTAGAACCAAGTTTAATTAAGACGACCTAAAAGGTGGGTTTAGGATTGTCGAAATGCAAATAATAACTTGTAGGTTTAATGGTTTGGTCTTTAGCAAGCCCCAAAAGATAAGATGTCTGTACACACCAAAGTTTAAGATTGAAGTTTGATATCTATTTCCCAACCAGCGTAGAGCAGCCTCCTTAAGCAAAGAAAAAAAAGCATTTCTTTTCTAGGTTTATTATTTTCTAAAGTGGGAGTGAGTAACGGAGGTTAATAAGGAAGACGGCTGTAGAGATTGCATTATTGACTATCAAGTGAAATTATAGGCACAACAATCTTCTCTCTTTTCCCTTGTAATCTATTCTTTATGAGTTGCCTAAATCTTAACAGTCCTTTATATGGTTGCGTCAATATCACAACTCACATGATGCGATTTACATATAGATACATTAAAAAAAGTATGCATCAATTCCCATGAATGGTGGTCAGAAGGATCAACTTGTGAATCAATAACGACTTGATACTAGTATATAAAGGCAATTTTTCTGTTTGGTTAATACTTGGAAGTCTTGAAGCTGACTTGGGAGTGATAATAAGGTTGGGTTTTATGCCATTCTTGTGATATTTATAAATGCAGTTTGTTCCTTTTATCTGTGCCTGCCCCTTGAGATCAACTGTGACATTTTTTCCACAAAGAAGTTCCTTCCTTTTATAGCTATTGTACAACAAGCAACAATTTATGGACAATTCTCCAAGCCTGTAGTTCTTCAAACCATCAACCATCTATACTCTATCATGACATTCTACTTTTGTGATGCAATTCCATATTGATAACCTAGGGACTGCAACATGCTTAGTGTTACTTTATATAGATCTCATTCTCACTTTGGCATATCATGTTGACAGAGGAACATCGTTGGCCATTCGATGATCATTTGGTTATTTATGTACGCCATTGCGGACCAGGAGTTTTAGTGGGTCAAGCATGGCAAGAAGGAAAAGATTTGGATCAAGTGCCCAAGAAGTTCTGTGGTGAGATCTTGATGGTGAAGATATCATAATGTAAGTTTATATTGGTGAAAGGGTCCACGATCTGGCTGTTTGTTACTGATGATTTCAAGTTTATCATGCTCCAATCTGAAGCTTATTGATGAAAGGGTCCATGTTCGGGCTGTGTACTACGATGATTTAAAGTTCATCATGCTCCAATGAATAGATTCTTTCCGGTGGCATCCATCTTAAAAATTCTAACAGTTACCATGTTTCATAACCTGTTATCAATGAAGGCTCTTTGTAACTTATTTATTATCTCTGGAAATCATATGTAAACTTCTTACCCCTGACTGGAAATCATATGTAAACTTTTTACCCCTGACTAGTCAATGAGGTAGAAAATGGTGATGGGTTCAAATGCAATCCACACTTTTCAGAGCTGCTGATTTCATTAACTCAAAAGAAAAAGAAAATGGTGCTGAAAGTATGACGATGATCTCTGGACGAGCAAATCCATTTTCTTTTCGTGCCCCAAATGAACTATTCTGTTTGTAAGCTGATGTAAAATGGGCATCTTGCATATATCCTTTCTGGATTTAGACGCTGCCAATCAAATATACTTTTAGACAGATTTCAGCTTACATTTTGCCTGTAAACTCTCAAAAATATGTTCTTTCCGAGACACCTAGGCTTGCCCTTTACATCTCACAAATGAATTTCAGCCTGCGGAAACTTGAGAACTCAAAATTCAATAATTCATAGAAGCACATTCCCTCATCTTATGCATATGCAAGAAAAAGAACATAGAACACTAGATTATATTTTGAACGATAGGCACCTCCAAGTTAGTGAAGCCTGTAGTTCACATAGAACAGAAATTCTTACAATTTATCATTCACATGCTGTATTCTGCTAGGATTCAGAACAGCAGGCGAAAAAACTAATATAACATCGTGTATCTTTTATTAAAAAAAAATGACTAGTTTCACCAGCGAATTGTACACTATTAGGAGGTAAGCATGCTATCGAGTGAATAAGCCTGTGATGGCCTCCAGGTATCCTGCCACCTAAAAAGGAACGAGACCAGAGATCATTGTCGTGATCATAGATGCAAGAGTTAATTGCAGATACACCCTATAATGTAGTAGAGTAGCCACTTATACCCCATAAACTTTTTTATAGCATTTGGACGCACTAAATCTCAAATGGTGTACTTTACATTGCCATCGATTTACATATTAGTTTTCCCCCCAGTTAAATTGAGGACAAATGTAATTCATCATCACATGCGTGATTTCCGTGCATCTCAACATAACTTGGGAGAAAAATGTCGTGTGGAGTTATAGGGGTTTAGGCGTTAATAAAATAGCTTGGAGGGTATAAATAACTACAATCTCATAGTACACGACATGTATACATGTATACGCAATTAATCTTACATAAAATTGGTCAGAATATGATTACTATTAATGCCCAACTAACCTGAGCCAACATGCCATGTCCAGTTTGACCCTCGATGACCAACCCTGCTGTGAGACCGATCATTGCCCATGCTCCATTGATGGCCTCAATTTGTCGTCGTCTCTGTATTCATAAAATTTCAAAATTTCATGATTTTGAATGAGGTGTCATACAAAAGAAAGTATGGATACTAAGAATAAGAATTTCATGTAAGAACACAAATATAGGCATATCCTTTTCTTTTTCCCTCTTGAACGAACATAAGGTACTAACATATCCTTATGGGTCCTACTTTAAAGGAATTAGTCTGTCAGAACTTTTTAAATCTGGTTGTCCTTAAATAGGTCATCAATTTTTTAGTAATATATTTTTTGTTACTTCCAAACCCAGCTAGTTTGACATGTATAATATTATATGCTTTTCTTTGTATATGATGGACTACATTTTAGTCAAAAGGGACGTCAAAATTTTGAGTTAACAAACTTTAATATGTTTAGGGTAAGTCTCAACATAAAAGCGAAATAAATTGAGCAATACTGTAGAAAGTTAAAGAATCTCCTCATGAAAATTTGTGTGTGTGTGTGTATAAATACACACACACACACGCACACATGTGTTTATATATGTATACATGTATGCGCGCGCGCACACACACATCTATATATATATATATATATACGTGTGTATATGTGTGTGTGTGTGATGGGGGGGCGGGTTAATTTGTTCCTAGGGCATAACTAGCTTAGTTATGCCCGCTCGTAAAAATGCATATTATGCAATGAAATTTAACGATCAACTCCGTTCATCTTGATCTATATGTCTTATAATGTCTACAAATAAAAAATCATGTGTGTCGGCCATATACTACATATGCATTGAGTGGTTGGAAAAATTAACGGTTTTCTAACAATACAATAGTAGGGACATCTTGATGCATGGGTTAGATTATTCCAATGGATGATCCGCTCCATTCATCATGATCTAAATGTCTCAAAACAAGTATAAACCAAAAGTCATGATCTTTCAATACTTCTAAGACGTATTTCTCATTGCCTTTTTAGTTGTATTGTCGGAAAACCTTTACTTTTTACAATCACTTGACTCATGAGTAACTACAACCTAACATGCCTAAGTTTTGTTTATATACCATCCAAAACATATAGATTGAAATGAATGAAATGGATCTTGTAAATTGATTGTATATAACATAGTTTTGAAAGTGGGCATAACGCTAGTTTTATAATGTGCAAACACATTGTTCTGTTACTGTAAATTTTCTTATAGGCATTTGCTTTCTACGCACAAATACCTTGTTGTGGTGTTCTGGTGTGTCCTACTCTTTTAAGGAAACATATATTTCTTATCCACCAATTAGCTTGCTGAGTCTATGCAACTGCTATCATGTCTATACTTGTGTGCTCCAGAGCTTTAGGTCAAGAGTAATATAAATGGTGCATCATATTGAGTCATGTTACATAGAGAACACCATTCAATGGGGAAGGCTTAAGGTTGATGATTCTTGATAATGCAATAATATTAACAGCAAGTTGATGATTTCCAATGTTTTGCTTTAATGATTGGAAGGTCTTCACATGAATAAATTGATCATTGGTTTGGAGCATAAAATCAAATTAATATTTGTTTTAATCATTGGTTTGCAGTTCAAGCATGCCTTTTTATATACATTGTTATTTTTTCTTTTAATTGATCTTTATATGTCAAAAATCTGCATTTATTACACACAAAAAGGCCATTTTTTCTCTATGACTTCCTGGAGAAAAAATTATGTAGGACACAAATTGTCCAAGACAACGATGCAACAACTTTTAGCAGATTATAAGTATCAGGAGATTCAGGACCATGGATTATCATCTTTTGTTTTCATCAACACCAAAAACTAGACCAACCTTAAACTCCAAATTGCAGTAAACAAATTCAAAATTTACTCACTTTGCGTTTCTCTCTGGCTTTAATTTCTTGCATTTGTTGGGCTGCCAACCTCTTGGCTTCTAAAGGATCAACCATGATAATGTCATTGCCTTTAGTACGCTTTCCTTGCGGTGTCTGTCATCAACAATAGAAATTACCTCTTCGATAAAGAAAAGGGCAAAAAAAAAAAAAAATCATAAAATCTCTCCTTAGACAAAAGTCTTAAGAGAACGAAACATACCGACCCCCAAGTTTTAGAGATGGATAAAAGCCATATAAAAAAACAACAGTCACATAGCTTCTCTCCTTAGACAAAAGTCTTAAGAGAATGAAACATACCAACCCCAAGTTTTAGAGATGGATAAAAAAGCGCCAGGTGGAAGAAGAGAACAAATTTCTTCCATGAATAAAAACACGATGAGCTCAAAATGGTTATTATTATATTCAAAAACACTTAAAAGTAAATGTATTTTATTTTTCATACTACCTGTTATCCCTTAACTTCTTCAGCAGTGTGCTTTAATGTTTATCATTTTACTGCATGTCTCAACCCAGGATAAAAGAAGAGGATTGTGTTAGGCAACCAACAATCAGTGCCAAACTTAATGAGATCTACATGATATTATCCTAAAGAATAATGAAAGACTTGGATTCACGAAGCCTAGCTGCCCTTTATGTTGTTGTTTAACTCTTTATATCACTTAGGGCTGCATGTGATGTATGTTTGGAACCAGGACAAACATATATAACCTTTCAAATTGAGTATTAGGCTGAAATCAGGCCAGAGTTTGCGGGTGTAAACCGTTTAGTGCAGTTTTTTTGAAGCAATGCTTTCATAGAATACTTAGTATAGGTTGGTTTGTGTTGATGAGAGTTACATTCTTGGAAGTTTTACATGATTGTAAGACTTCTTATGGTTCAAAATATGTTTTCTCTGCAGACTTTTGATTCTGTCCTTACACACAGATACACAACAAATTTCTTGATTTGCTCTGTCACACAAGTTTCTATATGGTTTATATGAATTACATCTTAAGAAAATACTTCCTCCTAACCCATAGTTCACCTGTCCTAAAGCCATATACATGAGCTCATTAAAGATAGGACGATCACCTATTCCGACAATCTTACTACTTTCGGGTTCCTTCTCTTAGAAAGTTAATCTCTACATCGTTTGTACAATGTTTACCAAGCTTCACAATTATACTAATAAGCATGTTCAAAATGACCAAAACATCTTGAATAGGAACAACAAAACAACAGTAAGAACAACCATAACAATGATTACAGTACCAAATAACAACAACATGAATCGCAAGTTAAAAGGATAATTGTGTACCGTATTGGAGAAAACATATTAAGATAACAAATGTTATAAAAGGTTACTGGTCTACATGCCAAATTTTATCTATCATATATTGCTTAAAAAATTATTGTTACAAGCATGCTCACACACCTAATATCTAGTCCCCATCATGCCCTAATCAAAACAATAGAAATTGTGTAGATGGCATATAAATATAGATAGTTCTTAATGTGTTAAATCCTCTAAACTTCATTCTGTGTTAAATCCTCTAAACTTTAATGTGTAGCCATTGAATGATTTTTATATTTAGATATTTAATTAAAGATACCATATTTGAGAATCATGTTCACATAATTATTAACTGAAAAAACTATTAACACAAATCAAATAGAACTTGTGCAACATTAATATTTTGTTCAAGAGCATGATGCCAATTTGTTAAAAACTGTTACTTGTAGTTTAAAGATTAGAACCATAAGGACTCTCAAATTCAGCATTAATCAGATATCCGAGTAGTCTGTTTTCTCCCTTTTACAACAATCTTTTTGGTTCTACATGTAAAGTTGATAATCATGAGACAAGGCACTATAATCTTAGTCATATTCTCTGCATTTACTTACACTATGTCAAGGTCTTAAGGACATACCTACATGACTATCAAACCAAACAAATATCAACATTACATGTAAAAGCCTTGATGCATACACGTGCAGTAGCAAAAACCCGTATCACATGCTGATTTCTTTTCTGGAGACCAGTATATGCTAGTTGCTCCCTTCGCAGTCTCCAACTAGCAGAAAGAAAAAGAATGATTTTCAAATGCCATCTTCTTTTATGAAGTAAGAAATTCAATTGGTAGAACTTAGAAGCAGATAGATTTAAAAACAA